TGGTTTTAAAATTGTGCAACCTGTAATCAGTAATCCCTGGGACTGCCATGTGGGAGACCACATTTAACTTTCCTTCCCTGATGTTGCCTACTCAAGGTATGATGTACCTTCAGTGATGTTTTATCCTATCCACCTACCCTAGATTTTTTTTTGGGTTATGTTAGTGTTGTGGTGTTGTAGGTGGATACCAACATTTTACATGAACATGGTGCCTCCATCGTCTGGGTGAAGGTGATTAGGGTGAGGATATTACCAGATTATATACACACAAAGACAAGGAATGTGGTTACTTTGCAACTGTGGTGAAATGTTTGTATCTGCAGATATCTCTGCTGTGTATCTCAGGGATCCGTATTACTGACGTGCATGCTGTCGACCGATTCCACTCCTTTTTGTGTGGACCGAAACAAAATTAACTGATTTAACTATACTTCTCCAGGAACTAATTTCTAGAAGTGCTTGGGGAAAGAACTTCAATGTCATAATAGCTTGATTTTGTAAAGTTTACAGCACACGCAGTGAAGACAAGCAGCGGCACGCACACAGGAAGACCACACAGAATAACACCTGTACAGTGTGGAACAAGAACTAGCCACTCCAGCACTTTAGACATAGGGCANAAACAAGATCATAATATATATTGTTTGCACTTGGGACGGAGTGTGTATCATTTATCGTTACTTGAAAGAGTTAAACGTGGCTAACGTAATGTAATCACTGATATCATACCTGGAAATGACAATCCTGGTGTGGCTTCAGTAATCTGCTGTAAGATATTGCACACATTGTTAAAATTGTGTTCATCTTGGATTGGTCAAGTATGGCATGATTTGGCTTGGTTTGGTGTGTCATCATGTGTACACAGATTTAAGTGGGAAAATGAGTGGGCCCAATGTGATGTCAGCATCTGCATGGTATTCCCAAGTTTTCCCCATTTTCTTTTGCTAGGATGGTTAGTGGATGCAGGTGATCCTGTAGTTCATTGAAATGTATTGTCACATGTATTAGTGTCTAATAATGCAGGTTTTGGATTGGATGAGTTGATTTATTGGCACTTCGGTTACAATCTTTCTTAATTACAGTCAGTACAGCGCTATCACTGATTTACACATGTTACAGTTCAGCATTACACACGCACTAGGATTCTCAGTCTTCACTAGTTGTGTCATGGTAACTGAATTAAAACAGTCTCACTGTGATGAAATTTTATAATCACACACACATTTCACTACAGCTGTCATCTGATGGAGAGAGATTCTATATACAGATCTGTGCTGCCAATAATCATGTTATGTAAGACTCAACATACTAAAACTACCCTGAACACAAGAGTCAATGTTGTTCAACTGATTATTTTATTTATAAATTTACAGTTTCAGTTTTCATCTATGCTGTGGCTCAAGTTTGTATTGTGACTGATGACTGTTTAAATAAATATTGCCTATGGGTTTCCCTTAAAGTTTACAGTAATCTACTTATATCGTAACTCTTTGCTATATTGTTTCAATTCACTGTACTTTGATACTGATAGGCTGTTTTCTTTATGTTTTATTATCATTGTGCATTAAACTTAGTACAGAATATTTTTATGCATTCTGAACAAAGTAAAATATAATGTAATGCCTTATATGGAGGTAATGTCTGTTCATCGAACTGTGACGTAGCATCAGCACCTAAACTGTTGTAAGAGGTCTATTTTAAACCTCATACAGGAGACTTACTTCTAGTCAGACAATTATGATTTTCATCTGTATTGACCCATAATAAAGTCCATTTTATTTAAGGTCATAAACAGGTAACCAAGCCACAAGTAATCTCAGTAGATTGAACACTGAACATTGAGAATTTTGAGTACTTCATTATGGAGTACATCGTTTCCCATCTTACATTTTATTATATGGTGCTAAGTTAAGTGCAGCAAAGGGGTTATATTAGAAGAGGAATGTCATTATGTATATATGGCGGTTAATGTTGATAGAATTAATTGAAATGTAAAAACTAGAAGGTAAATTATGTATGTAGAGAAGAGTGAAAATTAGTCACCATTAAACTCTCTGTAGTCTGAAACTAGTATTATGTCAATTTAGACTTTTTCCACTTTCTTAGCAATGAATGTCTGTACCATTTTGTTTCAAATTTACATGTCACATGTTTACTGTGGACTGGGTGCAGCCCAGTCTGCTTACCATCTGTTGGGCAACCCTGTTTAGAGTACACACAGTAATTGCATACTTTCCATTACATAGCAATTTGTTTAGATTTGTTTCATGTAAATTTCATTAGATTTTAAATGAACTGACCGTAGATAATACATATTTATATGTTCTGCAGAATATACCATTTAATATTTGCGTGCATAACAGAGTTTCACAATTGACTGCAGAGGAGTTAATACAGCTGTGTAGGTAGAAAGAACCCTGCATTTAGAAATAAGGTAGCAAAATACCAAACATTCCTCATGTGTATAGATCTGAATTTTGTAGAATGCTCAGAGGACCACTGTGTTTTTGTATATCCTAAATATTGAGGGGCTAAACTTTATTGTGAGCTGTTACCTTTTATGACATGAGAAGGAATCTTTGAATGAGGAGGAACAAGTGACTGAATAACTTCAAGAGTGGCAATTTTCATTTCCATTGTCACACTCTCTTTGGTTAATTTAATACATTCCTGTAGTGATTAATTTGTCATATGCAGTTATCTTGTGCTATGAATCTTTGGAATGTTTGTAGTTCAGTTTACAGCATTTGTTTTTTGTAAACATCACATGTCATGTAACATTCATTGGATGTGCTTTATGAAAATAATACGAGTATTCTGTATGTCAAAACTTGTGTAAACTGTAATATTTGGTGATATTATCAACCACAGAATGTAAACCAAGTACAAAATAAACAAATCTTCCCTTTATATTGTATGTAAATGTTTTTAATTTTGTAGTTGTCAATTGTACGTCCCTTGCGATGAATGTGCGACATATGATTTATGAGGGATGATTTCTTCAAAGTGATGTTAGTATTACAATATGACTCCGTGCCAAGTCATACAAAACATTCAGAGTTACTCGTGCAGACAGGAGGTGCCATTTATTTGTGCATTCATTAATTCATTCATTCTTGATTTATTGAACAACACTTTCAGTTACCTGTATTGTAACCCAACAAAGTGAAGTACAGTTATGGTGAGATTTAGAACTATGAAGCATGACGTAATATTTATTTCCTCTGTGTAGTCACTTCTGTGGCCAGAACAGGATGACCTCGTTGGTGAAGTATAGTGTCAGTGAAGAGGCAAGAGGGTCTTAACAAGTCTACTAAGCGGAGCATTTTTTTATCTGGATCATGATGTACAGATTATAAACTAACATAATTCTGTGTGGCATATGATATGTGATATACCAGTTTTATTTTTGCATTCTTCAGACCGTCCAGTGCTACTGTCATCAGTTCAGGCTGGATCAAGGGTTTCCCAGGTTGTATACAGCACTGAATGGCAGGATGATTACTGAATAATGTTGGAAAAGTTGTGGAAAGAAGAGACAGCAGCCTAATTGGAGATACCGTTGCAGTGTTGGTTGGTTGTCAGAATGTCATTCCATGCTGTGAACCTAAGTGATGGATATATTATCATCATATAATTTAATTATTGGACATTCCACACTACATGACTTCTACAGTTGCTGCAACTGAACAAGCTCCAGATTGCTCAGTATCTAAATGTAATTGAGTTTCATAATACTATATTTCAGTATCCTGTTGCATTGAATATTTTAGTGAATGAAATGTGGATTAATGTCATCTAAAAGGCCGCGCCATACCTTAAGCGGTTAGTCGCTGGCTTCGTCTGGTCAAGCGGGATTTGTGGTGGACAAAGTGGCGCTGGGGCGGGTTTTCTCCGAGTACTTCGGTTTCCCCTGCCAATCTTCATTCCACCAAATTCTCCATCATAATCACCCGGGGCAGGCTACAATAGGCCAATCAGTGGCCACCCTGCCAAGTGGACCCAGTTGGACTCCACCCCCCACTAAGCAAATTAAAAAAAAAGTCGTCTAAATGTATATTGAAATTGTTGCATTATAGAAGGAAGGAGACTTCAAGTAGTTGAGTTTCTGCATGAGCTGAAGTTCAATCATAAACTTATTGAAATATGTGAACAAAAAAGAGTGTGGGTTGTCCTCTCTTGTTCCTGGGTGAGGGTATCTTCATGTCCACAGTATCAGTTACATTCACATTTGGTGAAGTTTGGAAATATAATAATAATAAAAAGTTTAAAAAGAATGCTGGAGAAAACCATGACATATACAAGAGGTAAGTAACAGCTGGGAAAGCTTGGTCAGCATAACAACTAGGCTTTGGGCTGGACAACCGAGGAATCGAGAGTTCGATTCCTGGCAGAAGGTAAGAAATTTTCTGTTCTCCACAACTTCCATACCAACTCTGGGGCCCACACTGCCCATACAACCACCTATCAAATGAGTACCAGTTCTGGGGGGGGGTGGGGGAGTGGCTGATGCGTGAAGTTGACCAGTCAGTTCCATTTACTGGCGAGGTTAAGAATGTGTGAGCGATACCCTTGCTTCTCCATACGCCTTCATGGTGTGGTGTTTGGTCAGGCACTGGGATAACTTTACCTTAATTTTACCTTTTGGATACATGTAAATTTAATTTTTCAGTGGTCATGAATATTATTCAAGTACCCGTGGTTCCCATGAGGACTGAAACGCTGCATGTGACAAGCTGCTGAACTACGTATGGGATCATTGCTGTCAACATAATATATCTTCCTGTGCAATTATATCACATATTGTTTGTGATAGGAATTATCTTTAAAGTAAACCGTTCTGCATCCGAACTGGTTACGAAAGCTGTGACAGGAGTATATGGATAAAATGCCAATCAGTTTCTATAAAACGGTGAATAGTATTTGTTGTGTCGTTGCAGTCCGTATTGGCAATCCTGAGTACCATACTCTGACCTGGAGAAAGCAGACGGTCGAAAGAAACGAAGGCGGTTAGTTGTTTTAAGCGGGATCGTCCTGGTTCTCGCGATTCTTTGAGACGTGTGACTTCTTTGAATATAGTATTCATTACACGTGTAACGCAGTTTCGCGTCAAGATATATACAATTATGACAAGTTAAATTTTCGTCGAAAAATAATAATTTGCCTTTTCGTAACGGCATTTTGGTGCAGTTTAAAATTGCAAATATAATATTAAAGTGCGCGCGTGTGAAAGAAGCTGTGCTTTACTTGTGATTCTTCTGTCACCTATCTTCTTTAACTTCCCCTGTTCTACCGACTTGCAGGTTGTAGGTGAGTGACAATATTTACTTTTGATATTTCCACATGTACATGTTGCAAATTTTCTGATTATTATTACCGCCTTTTTTTAGCGAATGCCAGCGGTTTATATCATGCCGTCAGTAGTCTAGCAGTCATATTACAAGGTTAGAGATTTGTCTCCGTGTTCATTTATGATGCTGATGGCCAAACACACGATTCAGTTTTTTTGAACTGTTAAAAGAAAGTGTGCCCAAGATTCTGTTAAATAGTTTACATTTTTGTGTAACACTGTTCATGTCTCTCAGTTATTATTTAAAACGAATTTACAACAGACCTGGAAATGGTCCTACTTGACGAAATGAAACGCACACATGTCGTTTTGTAGAGAACCTTATTTCTGAGAAGAAGAAAAGATAACATTAGTACAAGAAAGGCGGTAAGTAGGTGTCCTTACTAGTCTCTACCGCCATCTGATAACAGCCCGGTCAACCAACACAGGTCGGCTATTATTTGGCGCTAGTAAAATGGGGATAGGAGCTCCAGGTGAATTGGGTTATGACCAGTGACAGCCTTGATGTAATAAACTCACACACATATATTTTCAGTGGTCTGGTGATATCATTTTCTCCCAGTACTTCAGTATCTTGGTCCAATTATCACGCCACGACTGCTGCACGCACACATATGCCGGCATTGAAGATAACTTCTTGCAGTTTGACGTAATGCGTATTCGTAAGAGAAATGCAGTACGTGTATATCCTAGATAATGCGAACTAACCAAAACACTGGTGTGTTCGGGCTAGGGAATCGTTTGGGTTACGGAATTTCAAACAAAAGTCGATTTTATAGCAAAATTGTTTGTTCACAAGTTTTATATATATAATACAGGGTGTCCCAGGAAGAAGGGTCAATATTCTGGGAGGTCATAATATCGGTCATTCCAAGCAGGAAAGTGTATATGTTCCTGTGTCCTATTCCGAAATGTTTCCGGAGGTAGAGCTATTTCACTGTGCAGTACACTGTACAGACGAGCAACACGCCATGTCCTCACACGAGTTGCACGGAGGTAGAGCTGTTTCACTGTACAGTTCCAGAACTCTTGATAAGAAAGAGAGATTACGCACCGGTATTTATTGTTCAAGTGACAAAGTTGGTACAGTTTCGAAAATTCAACCGTCAGCATCAATGCACTTTGCAACTTGTGTGAGGACATGGCGTGTTGCTCCCAGAATGTTGGCCTTTCCTTATGGGACACTCTGTATAGCGTAAAATGGTGGAATGACTGATGAATGATGAACTGAAAAGTATGTATAGCGAAGTCATCGTGCCCTATGCGATGTACCATCCTGGAGTTTGTCTGGAGTGACTGAGGAAACACACGAAATCAGGACAGTCGGTGTTCCGGCCGAGATTCGAACCTAACATCTCTTAGATACAAGTCTGGAGCTTTACTGCCAGACCAAGTAGTTCGGTTTTGTACAACGAACGCTTGAGTTATTATCTAAAAGGCACGGCAGATAGATCACCATCAAAACGTAAGACCATGATTGTACTTAAGAATTTAACTGGTAACTTTAGCCATATCTGTTGCATAGTTTTATTCGTAATAATTTACGTATTTCTTGCGGTTGTTTGGAAGAGGTCAATACAGTCTACAGTAGTGGAAGCTGTATTTGTGGGTCACCTTGTGCCTGCGATTCTTGACCTAGACCAAGCTTGTGCTGCGGCCATGTCATTACTCAGGCTTCCCACTGCGACGGCTCGCGTTCAGTCGCAGTTCAGTTTGCGGGGTATAGGTGTGTAGGTGTGCAGAGTTGTCAGAACTGTACAGCTTCGAGGATTTCTGGTGAATAAAGAGGAACTGGGGCCGGTTTCATCCAAATATGTCTGTTCCACTAGATGCCCCATTTCTCTCATGTAGCATACAGAGCTGTTACAATGGGTCATTTAGTCGCAAGTGCCAATGAATTCAGACTCACTCTATCCTACTAACGAAGAAAAAGATTAGAATGCCATAACACATTCGGACATGCATCTTTGTTTTTCGGGTGTAATGTCCCGTTGCTGACATTAAGTTAGAATTGCAGATGAGTTGGGTTAAATGGGCCCAACAGGAAGGTTTGGAAAAGTTACGGAGCATTGTAAATTTTTCTTGGTAGTTATCAAACTCGTATCATTTTGTGCTTACTCCTGTTGGGGTCTAAGGACACTATGCTACAAGCCGGAAGGCCGCGGGTTCAATTCCCGATGAGGTCATTGGATTTTTTTTTTCAGTTGACCTAATCCTCCAGCCGCATTATGGCCCTGGGGTCGACTCAGCCTCTAACAGAAATGAGTACCAAGAATATTCTTGGAGTATTCTTGGGGGTAAAGGGCGGCCGGCGCTTACGGTTGACAACCTTACCGCCATCTATGAGCCGATTGTCTAGAAAATGTGGAAACCTCAACTTCTCACAACTCTATGGGCCTCCACTTCCTCTCAAAGGGATACCTTTCCTTTTTTTACTTTACTCTAATCCTTCCAGCCGCACTATGGCCCTGGGGTCGACTAAGCCTCTAACAGAAATGAGTACCAAGAATATTCTTGGAGTATTCTTGGGGGTAAAGGGCGGCCGGCGCTTACGGTTGACAACCTTACCGCCATCTATGAGCCGATTGTCTAGAAAATGTGGAAACCTCAACTTCTCACAACTCTATGGGCCTCCACTTCCTCTCAAAGGGATACCTTTCCTTTTTTTACTTTACTCTAATCCTTCCAGCCGCACTATGGCCCTGGGGTCGACTAAGCCTCTAACAGAAATGAGTACCAGGAATCTTCCTGGGGTAAAAGGTGGTCTACCGGCGCGTAAGGCTGACAACCTCACCGCCATCTGAGAGCCGATTGTCTACGAAATGTGGGAGCCTCAACGTCCTGTTACAAGGAAAGCTTTACCTTTTAACGAGTATAAGGTGCTGCGTTTAACTCATTAAAATATTTTAGCTTTTGGCTTGGCAAGCAGGGGATCGGTGTTCGATTTTCGTCAGTAAACTTTTCTGTACTGTACAGCGTCCTGACCTGTTCTGATGTGTGAACAGCCTCCTATCCAGTCCGGTACAGCGGCCGTTGGCATGAAACTGACCACTTCCACAACCAGTGCCGAATTTAAGAATGCATGGCGCTGCGCCACCACCATCCTCCAGTCGTGTGTAAATGGCCCGACACTTAATTTAGTAGAGCGTTACCTTTTGCTTTTTTGCGGCCGTGCAGAAACTGTAATGTTCGTTGTTGCTCAGATCAGTTTAGAAGGGTAAATGGTGAGTGAGCTGATCACCGCGCGCGCTCCTAGCTGCACTGATGTGTTCGTACCCAGCAGCCTTACTACCAGCACGTTGTCTGTGCATAGCGTGCGGTCAAAAGGCATATGTTTTTTAGAGCCGTAACTCGGTAACGGAGTTGAATTTGCCTCGCTCGATTGCTGGGATTGTGGGTTCGAATCCCACTCGAGGCATGGATGTCTGTGTGCATTTATTGTGTGTGTATGTAGCGGCCTTAAGACGAGCTGATTCTTCGTCGACGGGCTCCTACCGACTGTGTATAGCATTAAGAAATTGAAAAAGCTGCCAAGGACAGACAGAAGGGTTGTAGACCCATCCATCTACAACCCTTGTGGACCTCGGCCGGTTTTTCAGTTTCTTAATCATCCGTACACAGTCGCTAGGACTCCTTGGACGCGGGATCAGCCCGTAGTTAGGGCGCTGCCTACACACAGAACAACACACAAAAAATAAACGCGCACAGACATTTGTGCCTCGAGTAGGATTTGAGGCCACGACCCCAATGTTAGAGCGGGAGAAGACGGTTCATACCTTAGACTGCGTGGCCATTGTGATCGGCCTGTAGAGCCATAGACAGACAGAGAGGATGAGTGAACAGCCTGCGTTCTGTCGCACGTTTTATCTGCACTGATTCGCTTGTACGGAGCAGCCTTACTACATGTACGTTGCCTGCGCGTAGAGTTCGGTCAAATGCGGCACAATTTCTGGCGCCATAACTCGGCAACGGAATTGAATTTCACAAATATCCCTCGAGTGTACTGAATTCTGTACGAGTCTGAGCGCGCAGACATACAAGCCCCCGTATTATTAATTAGTTCTGAATTGTGACGGCACAGGGGAACGGCGGTCGCTGTGGAGGTGTAATTACACGTAGTTGGCTCGGTTGAGCGTAGGTCGCACTCAACACAAACCGGAGATTGTATTAAGAATAACTCAGATTGTGGTCTTCTGGATTGTGATATAGAGTGGTCCTGTAAGTAAATGCACACGTTTCGGAGATGATGTCGCCTCCATATTAATGTTCGACTCAGAAGAAGGTAGCAGCATGTTCCAACGAAACGTTGGTTATTCTCTTATGAGACTACAAGGTTTCACGACCCATAAGGCCGTAATGTGAATATTCACAGCCCTGAAATCCTCAAATCATTCAAAGACATGGGATTGGGTACACGGTCTAACCTTCTGCAGTGAGTGAAGTTGAGTTGTTAGCTTCACACTCCGGCAGCTTTACTCCCAAGGAAAGAGCCCCCGGTACCCATTGGATGTCTGGAAGCGTTGGTGATAACTACAATTTTTGTCATCTCCGGGAATCGAAAGCCGTTTTTCTGTCTTACGCGTAGTGAAACCAGTACATTGCAGCACCCTGTACCCATGTTTTACATAAATCCTGCTATATACTGTCACATGTTTATGGTCGTAACCACTTCTGACACCACACTGTCACGTGTCCGGGTTCCCGTGACTAATAATAACGGGTTCTGCATTGGGTGAGTTGATTTATTGACACTTCTTTACAATTAAAACCAGTTATAACAGCTCACAATCAATGGCTGCCTGAGACTCGCTCCATTCCGTACTGGACAGTGAGTGTCGTCTCTTCTGCCGTGACTGACTTGGTTCTGATTTACGAATCGGTCACTTCTTCAGCCTCCGTTGTCCGCTGGTTAATACTCCACAGCCGAACACTCAGCTTCTGAACTCCCTTAGGTATGAAC